GGGGGGGGGGGGGGGGGGGACCGTTGTTGGAATTTTTTAATGGAAGGGGAGGATACTGTGTTCTGTCGTTGAGAAGAAAGGGGAGGTTTTAAATTTAATATGTAAAACGTAGTATAATACTGCGCTATATGTAAAACGCGACTGCACTTTACTTTAACGGCTAAAATTTCGCTACAGTAAAGCACAGTATAATACCGCGTTTTGTGTAGAAAAGTATCTTTTTTTTAACACGATAGAAACGTATTTTGAGTCCAAAAAGTTGCCATTTAGGTTTCGGACTCTATTGTTATTGTGTATCACTTACGAAAAAATCTATCTTATTTACTACTCCCTCCATTTTATATTAGATGAAGTACTTTCCTTTTTAATGTGTTCCAAAACAAATGACACATCTCTAAATTATGAAATAATTTAATTTTAAACTAAGGATGTCTAACGGGCCGAGTTTAATCATAACCGGACCGGCCCAGACCGGTTAAAACCAAAACCGGCCCGGACCGGTACAAGGGGACCGGGTGGGGCTGGATTAATGGGGTAAGGGGGTTGGTTTGTTTACGTTGGGGTTATCGGTTAACCGGCCGGGTCAAACCCGGTCAACGATTTTTACTGTAGAACCGGTTAACCGGCCCAGTCTGGACCGGCCCAGACCGGTATAACGGCTACTTTCAATTTTTTTGTGTTTCTACTTTCTGACCGTTGGCTCAACGACTATTTTGCACATTTAGCCCTTTTTTGGGCCAATTTTTTTTTAATTTAATATTTTTGTAATTACTAATTTAGCCCTTTGAAAAACTATAAATACACCCCCCTTCATTTCTTCACTCATCTCTCATTTCTCAAACTCAAATTCTCAATTCAAGTTAAATCATGCCCCGTACTTCTAAAGTGCGCTCGTATGTTTGGGAACACTTTGAGGTGGTAGAAGAAAATGAAGAAGTTCAGAAAGTAAAGTACAAGAACTATGGTTGAGTCAATCTTCGTCAAAAGTGTGACACAAACAGTTTAAGGAGGAATATGAAGAGTTGTCTTGAGCGTCCTCCAGAAATTCGTATTTAAGTTGATTTGAGACAATTTGTGTTATTTTAAAATTATTAGACGTATATATGCTTAATGTTTTAGTTTGTTAGATTAATTTGAAGTATTATTATGCATGAAAATTTAGCTTTACTCTTTTTTCGTTATTTACTTGTTAAATGCAAACTTCAATTTTGTAATTTTGAAATAAATGTAGCACTTGCAATTTATAAGTGCAATTTTTTCCATCTTCATTGTATTCTTTATATTTTTTACTTTATATTAATATAACTTACATTAGTCATACAAAATACAAAAAAAAAAAAAATTACACTAACCCCGCCCGGCCTGGCCCCTTGTACCCGTAACCCGTATGGTTCATTTTTTATTCAGATGAACCCGAACCCATTAAATCCGGTAAGCCCTAACTCGTAACCAGCCCGATTCCCAACCCATCCGTTTCCTAATTTTGCCTACCCAGACCGACCCGGCCCACCCGTTAGACACCCTTATTTTAAACTCTTCATTTTAGCCATTTATCCTTAATGAGAAGCTTTTATTATTACCGCACAAATGTCATGGCCCCATAAACTTTATACCCATTAAGCTTTTAATATCAGAAGATTCAAAAGTCTTTTTTTTTCTTAAATTCCGTACCGAATCAAACTACCTCATCTAATATGAAACGGAAGGAGTACTATTTGTTTCTGTTTGGATTTCAGAATCAACTTAAACACCTCCATACAAAGTCAAAACTCAAAATCACTATTGTAAGCACGTGATTTTTGACCCTCCCCGAGATTTTTCACATTTTTAGCGTGAATATGCGAAATTGGGTCTAATATAGCCATTTTAACTATTTTTACTTTATTTCGTTGCAAAAAGAAAAAATCACAAAAAATACATATATAAATTTTAGTTTATGCATTTCTCATAAACGTGGAAAAAATACAAAAAATTGTACTTTTTTTTGTACTTTATATAAATTCAAAAAATTACTAAAATATATAGTTCTATTAATGTTTGCAGTCATTA